TTTCTATTCAATCATTGTTAGAATCAAAAGCAAGGGGTTATATACTATCTCTATATTCAATGATTGATAATTCTCCTTTATAATAGAGAAATGTCTTTTTCTATTGTATTCTACATTCTATAATAAATAAAATAATCAAAATAAATAGGAAAAAATATATAATCTAAGAGAATATAACGAAAAATGTAGAATACAATAGAAAAAGACATTTCTCTATTATAAAGGAGAATTATCAATCATTGAATATAGAGATAGTATATAACCCCTTGCTTTTGATTCTAACAATGATTGAATAGAAAAGAATTACTCATTCTTTCTATATTTTAAGAATGAGTAATTCTTCCCTGTTAGCGGGTAACGGGAATCGAACCCGTTGTGCGTGAACGTCCACTCCACCACCTTTGCGCTTCTCACCACATATACGAAAGGCATAAACTATGGAGATGTATTTTCCCATGTACAGGTGGAAAATACATTCTCATTTTCCACATTTGGTAAGGTGGAGCAATGCCCACTGACGGGCACTCCCGAAACTCCTGGCAGATTGTCATCATTGCAGGATCCTTCTACACTGTTTCAGACTTCCTAAAAAAAACTTCGAATTCCAAAAAAAAAAAAGAAAAAGAAAAAGCTTTGAAATGGTGTCACACCGTGCTGCCCCCTGCCGCACCGTGCCGCACCGGTATCGGAATCAAAACCAAACTCGTTCTAATGGGACTCGGTCCCAGGACTTCTTCTTTTTCTCTTTTTTTTCAAAAGAAGGGCGACGGCGTTGAGATATCATTGTCCAACTCACCAGCCCCAGGTAATGCAGAAGTTCATTCGTATAGTTCCATCTAGATTCAAACTCAGGTCTGTCATGGGTGTATCAACAGTACACATTCAACAGAAACTGACAGAAAGTTCAATGCCGTCCAATTGCAAACAGAAATGAATGAACTTGAGAAGAAGATGAAAGAAAGAAGAAGAAGAAGAAGAAGATGAAAGAAAGAAGAAGAAGAAGAAGAAAGAAAGAAGAAAGAATGAAGAATAAGATGATGTACACCAGCATAGACCAATGATAATGCTCTTCTTCTTCGCCAGCCACTCTCCTCCTCCTTATCTCCTCCTCTCTTATTCAAACAAGAAATAATAATGATAATGTTGAATGGCTGAACCAGAATCAATGTCCAAATCCCTCTCATACTGCAGGCATCACATGAGGTCCACCATAGCAATGGCCACCCTTCGTCCTCCTCCTCTCATGGCCGAGCCTATTGTGGACTACCAGGGCACCGCCCTGCTGTGCAAAGGACAACACAAAGCAGCTATGGATGCTCTAGCTCAGGCCGCCATGCCTGACTCTGTCTCGAAGCTTCTTGGTGCAGCTCTACTCAACGGGGGCCTTCCAGATGCAGCGCCCACCAATGTGATGAAGATGGTATTCACCATAGCCAGGTAAGTACCTCTGGCGCTCCTCCCTCGTAGTCCTGGTCTAGATCGTCCTCCTGTCCTCGTTCCTCCCCAGCAGTGCTGCTCTTGATGCTGGCGCTGCTCCAGCCAGCGCTCCAACCAGTGTGTCGCCAAACTTGCACAACAACAATGAGGAGCTCTTTGCTCCTCCTGGAGATATAGCGGCTTGCTTGCCTCTTGGCGAGTGACTTCCTAGGCCGCACGGCCTCCAAGCAACCGGTACCTCCTCCCTCTCGGAGGGAAACATCATTGCAGACTCTGATATTGCCCATGCAGGCCCTAAACTCAGACTGGTTGGACTGGTACCCACCTAGTCCTAGCCTACAACTACTGGGCCTTCAATTTTGGGATGGGCTTGGGGAAGGACTTTTCGGGGTTTGGTTTGCACGCTGTTCCAATGATCTCAGGTCTGTTCTGGTTGTCACACCATGGGGAGGTAAGGGGGGGAAAGAGGGGAAGAATTGGTGGGGGGGGGATCTAGAGGGTACATGTATGAACTTGTGCTGTGCATTCAGGACTTAGTTGATCGCTTGGGGTATGTATAGAGCTATCTTGATTGTGAAAGATCTGGTCGCACATATAAACGGACTTTGCTAGAAATGAAGGGACTGCTCATAGTAGTATTGTGCATGGTATTGAATGAGCATTTAAGAACCCCCATTCGAACCCTGCTCGAACCTCGTGGAACATAGTAAATACTTGACTATAGGATAGTTTGCGGGCCCAGAGAACCCTGGTCTGCTACTCCCTACCTCTCTCTAGGGGGGTCTCCGTT